GGGCTCGAAATGTATTAGGAGATGTAGATTAGAAAGAAACGCCTAGGATTAGGCTCTGAATACCATGTTAAGGTTAAGCTTGAGGGAGCCATGGTTGCCTAGAGAGAAGATAACGAGAAAAATTGTACTAGGTAAGAGTGTCGAGATACAAATGTAGGAAACCCTACTTGAACTTAGGGTGTGTTCATTTTGTGCTAAAAACTAGGAAATGAACTTAACTTGAACCGAAAGTGGAACTCGCTCTAAACATGGCAAAATAACAAAAGAACACCATGATAAATGCCAGAGCAAGCTCTAGCCTACTCCAACACGGAAGCCTCAGCTGGCGGCGTCAGCTCATTGTTGTTTTCTTTTCCCTCATTTGCAGTGCTAGTCTCCTCCGCACCCGCATTCTCTAGGTTCGGGAACTTCAACGATGCGAGCTTCTTCACCAGCGAGACGCGCGTTTCGTATGCAAAGGGACCCTCCACCTCCTTAAGAAGTGGTTTAGGTGTCGTCGGCTCTGACTGGTGAATTGTTTGCCACCGATTTCCGAACATCTCCAGTTGAGGGCATGTTCGTGGGAGGTACAGCCGGCTGAACAACCTTCCTTGCGGGACAAGCCATGGTGCGATGATGAAAAAGGTTGAAAGGAAAGCCACAAGTGCTTGTTGAAAAAAAAACCAAAGCTGAGCACCGAAGCTTTATAGCCGACAATGTGTTGCCTATACATCGTTTTCCTCCTTGATAGGTGACGATAGTGCTCGACGCACAGTTGTCGAGACCCATCCTTGGGTAGTGCTGGTAGAGCGAGAGTTGTTGAGACCTTGGGGATGATGGCCTTAAAATGGTTGGTTTTGATAAAGCCGTTGTAGTCCATAAACTTGTAGTTGCACACGGAGATAATGGAGAGCCTATCAATGAACCAGAAAGCACAATGCTCATCGTATGAGCACGAGAAAGGTACCTTTGTGTTCTTATTGTCACGGATATTCCAAATCCGTTCTTAAAAAAGGCAACTGATAAGAAATTGCTAGACATTGGGCTTGTCAAAGAGCCTGATAAAATCGATGGCGGAGAGCTCATTGTTGAAGCTATGTCAAGAGAGTAATGTGGGCAGTTCCAAAACCATATTATCTCCCTGCATTTTGATGTTCCTTCCATGCTTCCATGTTTGCCGCGAGTGGCACGACGCTCTCCGTACGACACTAGCGTCACTTGGTTTCTTCCCGTAGTCTACTCACCCGTAATTCTTTGTTCATCGCACTTCGACCCCGTTCTTTATCCTGGTCTACGTTGATGACTTGGTTTTTGCAACTCCTGACAGGAGCGCACTGGCCTCGGTGAAGGCCAAACTGCTTGTAGAGGCACAATTGCACTGACCTTGGTGAGCTTCGGCATTACCTTGGCCTGCAGATCACCAGGGACAGAGCTCCTCGTACCATTACGCTGACTCAGTCGCATATGGTGCAGCAGGTCCTCGAGCGGTTTGGCCTTCGGCTTCGACACAGCCCACCCCTCTTGTACCGAATATAGCGGGGGTGACCAATACCTTAACCGACCTTCTGCAAGAAAATGTTTCTTTCTCATGGAGAAGAATTGGTCGGCCTTCAACGAGCTCAAAAACAAATGAAACGACAACAAAGAAGAGCGACGACCACGGCGCCTCTACTGCAAAAATTGCATAAATTTCGAGCAATCAGCGATGGAAATTCCGCTCCAGCAATCGCCAGCCCAACTCTGGGTTGCGTTCAGGGGTGCGGGGGCTGCGGGTAGGGGTGGTTACAGGTCGACGGGAGGGGACTCGCAGCGGGTCCTGCTAGCGTGCGATTCGGCAGGCCCGCGGGGGCCTGTCAAGGTCGCGACGTGGGGGGGGGGGGGCCCACGGGGGTATCTCTAGCGCACGATTTGGTGGGCCCGCGGGGGCTTGTCTAGGTCGCGATGTGGGGGGGAACCGTGGGGGTCTCTCTAGCGCGCGATTTGGCAAGCCCGCGGGGGGCTGTCTAGGTCGCGACGTGGGGGGACTTCGGGATACGAGGCGTACGGGGGCTGGGGGGTGACGGGGCGTGCTGGGGTGCACGTGACGGGGCGCACTGGGCTACGAGGTGACGGGACACTGTAGGTAGCGGGGTGATAGGTCGCGCTGGGCTACGGGGTGACGGGGCGAGAGGGGGGACACCGTGATGTAGTGGGGGAAGTCGTCGACGACCACTAGGAAGTAGCTCTCCCCGGGCCCGGAATGAGGGGCGGGGCCACACACGTCCAAGTGGAGAGTCTGGAGGGGCGCGCAGGTCGGTCAAAGGGAGGAGGAGTGAGGGGTGGCGCGCAGCCTACCCTTGACGCAAGGAGTGCACAACAGTGCTCGCGAAGGAGGGAGCGATCAAAATGAGGGTGGAAGACGGAGGCTAGATATGTGACGAAGGAGTGGGAGGGACGATTGACCAAGACGGTGGTGCCACACGACTGTCGGGAGGGTGAGTGCCCGGCAAGAGCACGACGCAGCAACATGACCAGACGCATCTACCTTGGGGGACGCAGTGTGTGCAGTGTGAAAAGGTTTGAGCGGGGCTCCCTGAAAACGTCGCAAGGAATGCCCTAGTGGAAACGTCTGTACAGGTCACAAACCTCTTGTGTTCAGGAAACGTGACTATCACCCCGTGGTTCAGAAGGTGTCCAACACCCACCAAGTTCCTGAAGAATGAGGGGATATGGAGATCAGTGAGGGAGCCGGACATCTGAGGGTGGTAGAGCTGCGACCGAGAGCTGGTCCCAAAGTAGGATCAGCCAAGGCAACTGAGACCGGTGCAGGAAGAGGTGTGACGGTGGTGTGGTCGCGAAAGAAGCACTGAGACACATCCGAGTCAAGTATGAAGGACAGCGATGGGTCAGCCGTAGACACACCTGGGCTAGTAACTACACAAGCACCTACACTAGAAACACAAGCATCTACACTAGCAACAGTCAAAGATCCTAGTCTAGGAAAACGCAAGCAAACATATAAATTGGTACTGTTGTTAACATTAGCACACATGAAAAAAACATGAGCAACATCCATGTTTTTATCAAACAATTGAATACGACGAGCAAGCAATGTCACTCAGCGCGAGGGGACTTCCTCAGAGTCGTGGCCGTGACGGTAGAGGTCGTGAAGGCAGCGGAAGCATCGCGCTGCAGAATGGTTGAGCCCCCCGCAGTAAGCGCCGCTACTCGGACCCGTCAGGGTACAGTAGTGGCAGGGGCCAACGTCGCGGCTAGTGGGATGAGGCCCCCAGCTGGTGGGGCCGCTGCTGTGGCCAACGCTCTCTGAACCACCACGTCCCCACTGCTGCGGAGGGTCCCACTGCTGAGGAGGACCCCACCGCTGGAACTGCTGCCGCACCTGCGGCGGCGGCAGTCCCTACTGCTGATGTGACCGCTGCTGCTGCTGTGTCCCCTCCCCACCTCCAAGGCCAGCTGCTCCTCCCGCCAGACCCACCTGCCCAGTACCACCTCCAATGCCACCTCCACCAGGCGTACTAGTACCGCTACAACGCCACCACCCCCACCTCCACCACCGCCACTACTACCATCACCACCACCCTTCCCCCCAATCTTACTTCCCTTGCCCCGTTTCTGCCCACTAATGGCAGAAACAGACTCAGAGACGGACGACGCAGCAGTGGCAAGAGAAGCAGTGAAGGTGGGCTGGCTGGCGAGGCGCGCGGGCACAGCATGTGCGCTCTGCAGGCGGGGCACGCGCGCTGCTGCTGCCGCGCGTGCTGGCTGGACGCGCGCTGGCGAGGCGTGCGCGCTTTGCTGGTGAGCGCTGGCGCGGCGCGCGCTGCTCGCGCTGTTTTGCTGGCGGGACGCTCAAGGGCTGGCTGGCGAGTGGCTGGCTGGCTGGCTCAGGCTGGCACGCTAGGTGGTATGTAGGTGGGTGCGATCTAGGATCTAAACCTACTCTAATACAACCTTAAGAGTGAAAAGAACGGAATGATTAGACTAGTGGGAGTAGGGTACAAGTGAGCGTGTCGAGAAGAAATATGTTTTCTATAGCAAGTACCTCACTGCAGCCTAAACTAGGTACCTAAGAAAGATATAAACATTATTTGACAAAGTTAATCTAGTCGCTTTGACGCACATCGATCGAAGTCCTTCGTAGTAGGCGTCGATCACGGAACGCAATCGACTGCTCTCATTTGTGAACAGGACGGCGAGGTCGACTTCTCCCAAGCGAGGTCGCGACATTTTATTGTAACATTTCAAGCTTACTAGCTTGTTCAATTGCACTCGTAATAGGTACTCAGTTTAGAAGTGACATAACAATGTATATCAGACATATATTCTATAACTCGCTGCAAGCACACTCACGACAGACACTGACTCCCTCCCTTTTCACCGACTCTCGCCCAAGCGTCAGTCAACAGTTCCGCACCGTTGACTGGATTCGCGTTGACTGGTCGTCCCAACAGTCAAACAACGCATCAGTTTCTCCTAATACGTGCACGTCGACCGTCTTGGGTTCATGGCAGCGGCGGCGATGGCAGTGGAAGTACAAATAGCGACTTCGCTAGAAGCATTCCGCAGCGCCGCCTCTCAGGCTTCTTTTCACACCACGCCTCTCGAATCATCCTCGCCCATCCCAACAGCATCGCTCTTGGGCTTCGACTGGGACCGCCGTCGTCCCTCCCTCGCGGACTCTCGCTCGTTTCCTGCCTCACCACTCCCATTCGCAACCATTCGCGTCTGGAGCGTTTTAGCATTCCTCGCCGCTCGCCATGATGACGCGTCGCCTCGCCTCGTCCCGCGTCGTCCCGGCCCTCGCGCTCGTCGCGCTCCTCTGCTTCGCGGGCGTCGATCACGCGGCTTGCAGCGCGCGCTCGCTCGGCCTTCCAAGGTTCGGCGGCTTGGCGGGGGGATCGGGGACAGGCGGAGGCTGGTCCTTCTTCCGCCCCCCGCGGCCCGGCGGCGGCGGCGGAAGTGGCGCAACGAACGGCGGGCAAAGCGGGCAGGGTAGGTTTGGCGCGCAAGGAGGTGGCGGGATGAGCGGACAAACGAGTAGTCCGGGCGGAGGAGGCATGGGCGGAGGAGGTATGGGCGGAGGAGGCATGGGCGGAGGCATGGGCGGAGGAGGCATGGGCGGAGGCATGGGCGGAGACATGGGCGGAGGAAGCATGGGCGGAGGAAGCATGGGCGGAGGAAGCATGAGCGGCGGAGGCATGGGCGGAGGAGGCATGGGCGGAGGAAGTATGGGCGGAGGAGGCATGGGCGGCGGAGGCATGGGCGGAGGAGGCATGGGCGGAGGAGGCATGGGCGGAGGAGGCATGGGCGGAGGAGGCATGGGCGGAGGAGGCATGGGCGGAGGAGGCATGGGCGGAGGAAGCATGGGCGGAGGTGGCATGGGCGGAGGTGGCATGGGCGGAGGAGGCATGGGCGGAGAAAACATGGGCGGAGGAGGCATGGGCGGAGGAGGCATGGGGGGAGGCAGCGGGTCATCAGGTGGGAGTGCGTGTGGCAACAGCAGCAGCAGCAGGAGCGCCAAGCTCACGAGCAGCAATGGCAAGAGGTGTGCCCACCCGCTCTGCCACACTGCCTGCCTTGCCACTTAGCATGCACGTTCATGTCCTCTCATCTCTTCCCCTCACGCATTGGTTTCCATCTCTTCCCCTCACGCATTGGTTTCCATCTCTTCCCCTCACGCATTGGTTTCCATCTCTTCCCCTCACGCATTGGTTTCCATCTCTTCCCCTCACGCATTGGTTTCCATCTCTTCCCCTCACGCATTGGTTTCCATCTCTTCCCCTCACGCATTGGTTTCCATCTCTTCCCCTCACGCATTGGTTTCCATCTCTTCCCCTCACGCATTGGTTTCCATCTCTTCCCCTCACGCATTGGTTTCCATCTCTTCCCCTCACGCATTGGTTTCCATCTCTTCCCCTCACGCATTGGTTTCCATCTCTTCCCCTCACGCATTGGTTTCCATCTCTTCCCCTCACGCATTGGTTTCCATCTCTTCCCCTCACGCATTGGTTTCCATCTCTTCCCCTCACGCATTGGTTTCCATCTCTTCCCCTCACGCATTGGTTTCCATCTCTTCCCCTCACGCATTGGTTTCCATCTCTTCCCCTCACGCATTGGTTTCCATCTCTTCCCCTCACGCATTGGTTTCCATCTCTTCCCCTCACGCATTGGTTTCCATCTCTTCCCCTCACGCATTGGTTTCCATCTCTTCCCCTCACGCATTGGTTTCCATCTCTTCCCCTCACGCATTGGTTTCCATCTCTTCCCCTCACGCATTGGTTTCCATCTCTTCCCCTCACGCATTGGTTTCCATCTCTTCCCCTCACGCATTGGTTTCCATCTCTTCCCCTCACGCATTGGTTTCCATCTCTTCCCCTCACGCATTGGTTTCCATCTCTTCCCCTCACGCATTGGTTTCCATCTCTTCCCCTCACGCATTGGTTTCCATCTCTTCCCCTCACGCATTGGTTTCCATCTCTTCCCCTCACGCATTGGTTTCCATCTCTTCCCCTCACGCATTGGTTTCCATCTCTTCCCCTCACGCATTGGTTTCCATCTCTTCCCCTCACGCATTGGTTTCCATCTCTTCCCCTCACGCATTGGTTTCCATCTCTTCCCCTCACGCATTGGTTTCCATCTCTTCCCCTCACGCATTGGTTTCCATCTCTTCCCCTCACGCATTGGTTTCCATCTCTTCCCCTCACGCATTGGTTTCCATCTCTTCCCCTCACGCATTGGTTTCCATCTCTTCCCCTCACGCATTGGTTTCCATCTCTTCCCCTCACGCATTGGTTTCCATCTCTTCCCCTCACGCATTGGTTTCCATCTCTTCCCCTCACGCATTGGTTTCCATCTCTTCCCCTCACGCATTGGTTTCCATCTCTTCCCCTCACGCATTGGTTTCCATCTCTTCCCCTCACGCGTTGGTTTCCATCTCTTCCCCTCACGCGTTGGTTTCCATCTCTTCCCCTCACGCATTGGTTTCCATCTCTTCCCCTCACGCATTGGTTTCCATCTCTTCCCCTCACGCATTGGTTTCCATCTCTTCCCCTCACGCATTGGTTTCCATCTCTTCCCCTCACGCATTGGTTTCCATCTCTTCCCCTCACGCATTGGTTTCCATCTCTTCCCCTCACGCATTGGTTTCCATCTCTTCCCCTCACGCATTGGTTTCCATCTCTTCCCCTCACGCATCGGTTTCCATCTCTTCCCCTCACGCATCGGTTTCCATCTCTTCCCCTCACGCATCGGTTTCCATCTCTTCCCCTCACGCATTGGTTTCCATCTCTTCCCCTCACGCATTGGTTTCCATCTCTTCCCCTCACGCATTGGTTTCCATCTCTTCCCCTCACGCATTGGTTTCCATCTCTTCCCCTCACGCATTGGTTTCCATCTCTTCCCCTCACGCATTGGTTTCCATCTCTTCCCCTCACGCATTGGTTTCCATCTCTTCCCCTCACGCATCGGTTTCCATCTCTTCCCCTCACGCATCGGTTTCCATCTCTTCCCCTCACGCATCGGTTTCCATCTCTTCCCCTCACGCATCGGTTTCCATCTCTTCCCCTCACGCATCGGTTTCCATCTCTTCCCCTCACGCATCGGTTTCCATCTCTTCCCCTCACGCATCGGTTTCCATCTCTTCCCCTCACGCATCGGTTTCCATCTCTTCCCCTCACGCATCGGTTTCCATCTCTTCCCCTCACGCATCGGTTTCCATCTCTTCCCCTCACGCATCGGTTTCCATCTCTTCCCCTCACGCATCGGTTTCCATCTCTTCCCCTCACGCATCGGTTTCCATCTCTTCCCCTCACGCATCGGTTTCCATCTCTTCCCCTCACGCATTGGTTTCCATCTCTTCCCCTCACGCATTGGTTTCCATCTCTTCCCCTCACGCATTGGTTTCCATCTCTTCCCCTCACGCATTGGTTTCCATGTCTTCCCCTCACGCATTGGTTTCCATCTCTTCCCCTCACGCATTGGTTTCCATCTCTTCCCCTCACGCATTGGTTTCCATCTCTTCCCCTCACGCATTGGTTTCCATCTCTTCCCCTCACGCATCGGTTTCCATCTCTTCCCCTCACGCATCGGTTTCCATCTCTTCCCCTCACGCATCGGTTTCCATCTCTTCCCCTCACGCATTGGTTTCCATCTCTTCCCCTCACGCATCGGTTTCCATCTCTTCCCCTCACGCATCGGTTTCCATCTCTTCCCCTCACGCATCGGTTTCCATCTCTTCCCCTCACGCATTGGTTTCCATCTCTTCCCCTCACGCATCGGTTTCCATCTCTTCCCCTCACGCATCGGTTTCCATCTCTTCCCCTCACGCATCGGTTTCCATCTCTTCCCCTCACGCATTGGTTTCCATCTCTTCCCCTCACGCATTGGTTTCCATCTCTTCCCCTCACGCATTGGTTTCCATCTCTTCCCCTCACGCATTGGTTTCCATCTCTTCCCCTCACGCATTGGTTTCCATCTCTTCCCCTCACGCATTGGTTTCCATCTCTTCCCCTCACGCATTGGTTTCCATCTCTTCCCCTCACGCATTGGTTTCCATCTCTTCCCCTCACGCATTGGTTTCCATCTCTTCCCCTCACGCATTGGTTTCCATCTCTTCCCCTCACGCATTGGTTTCCATCTCTTCCCCTCACGCATTGGTTTCCATCTCTTCCCCTCACGCATTGGTTTCCATCTCTTCCCCTCACGCATTGGTTTCCATCTCTTCCCCTCACGCATTGGCTTCCATCTCTTCCCCTCACGCATTGGCTTCCATCTCTTCCCCTCACGCATCGGTTTCCATCTCTTCCCCTCACGCATTGGTTTCCATCTCTTCCCCTCACGCATTGGTTTCCATCTCTTCCCCTCACGCATTGGTTTCCATCTCTTCCCCTCACGCATTGGTTTCCATCTCTTCCCCTCACGCATTGGTTTCCATCTCTTCCCCTCACGCATCGGTTTCCATCTCTTCCCCTCACGCATCGGTTTCCATCTCTTCCCCTCACGCATCGGTTTCCATCTCTTCCCCTCACGCATTGGTTTCCATCTCTTCCCCTCACGCATCGGTTTCCATCTCTTCCCCTCACGCATCGGTTTCCATCTCTTCCCCTCACGCATCGGTTTCCATCTCTTCCCCTCACGCATTGGTTTCCATCTCTTCCCCTCACGCATTGGTTTCCATCTCTTCCCCTCACGCATTGGTTTCCATCTCTTCCCCTCACGCATTGGTTTCCATCTCTTCCCCTCACGCATTGGTTTCCATCTCTTCCCCTCACGCATCGGTTTCCATCTCTTCCCCTCACGCATCGGTTTCCATCTCTTCCCCTCACGCATTGGTTTCCATCTCTTCCCCTCACGCATTGGTTTCCATCTCTTCCCCTCACGCATTGGTTTCCATCTCTTCCCCTCACGCATTGGTTTCCATCTCTTCCCCTCACGCATTGGTTTCCATCTCTTCCCCTCACGCATCGGTTTCCATCTCTTCCCCTCACGCATTGGTTTCCATCTCTTCCCCTCACGCATTGGTTTCCATCTCTTCCCCTCACGCATTGGTTTCCATCTCTTCCCCTCACGCATTGGTTTCCATCTCTTCCCCTCACGCATTGGTTTCCATCTCTTCCCCTCACGCATTGGTTTCCATCTCTTCCCCTCACGCATCGGTTTCCATCTCTTCCCCTCACGCATCGGTTTCCATCTCTTCCCCTCACGCATTGGTTTCCATCTCTTCCACTCACGCATTGGTTTCCATCTCTTCCCCTCACGCATTGGTTTCCATCTCTTCCCCTCACGCATTGGTTTCCATCTCTTCCCCTCACGCATTGGTTTCCATCTCTTCCCCTCACGCATTGGTTTCCATCTCTTCCCCTCACGCATTGGTTTCCATCTCTTCCCCTCACGCATTGGTTTCCATCTCTTCCCCTCACGCATTGGTTTCCATCTCTTCCCCTCACGCATTGGTTTCCATCTCTTCCCCTCACGCATTGGTTTCCATCTCTTCCCCTCACGCATTGGTTTCCATCTCTTCCCCTCACGCATTGGTTTCCATCTCTTCCCCTCACGCATTGGTTTCCATCTCTTCCCCTCACGCATCGGTTTCCACCTCTTCCCCTCACGCATTGGTTTCCATCTCTTCCCCTCACGCATTGGTTTCCATCTCTTCCCCTCACGCATCGGTTTCCATCTCTTCCCCTCACGCATTGGTTTCCATCTCTTCCCCTCACGCATTGGTTTCCATCTCTTCCCCTCACGCATTGGTTTCCATCTCTTCCCCTCACGCATCGGTTTCCATCTCTTCCCCTCACGCATCGGTTTCCATCTCTTCCCCTCACGCATTGGTTTCCATCTCTTCCCCTCACGCATTGGTTTCCATCTCTTCCCCTCACGCATTGGTTTCCATCTCTTCCCCTCACGCATTGGTTTCCATCTCTTCCCCTCACGCATTGGTTTCCATCTCTTCCCCTCACGCATTGGTTTCCATCTCTTCCCCTCACGCATTGGTTTCCATCTCTTCCCCTCACGCATTGGTTTCCATCTCTTCCCCTCACGCATTGGTTTCCATCTCTTCCCCTCACGCATTGGTTTCCATCTCTTCCCCTCACGCATTGGCTTCCATCTCTTCCCCTCACGCATCGGTTTCCATCTCTTCCCCTCACGCATTGGTTTCCATCTCTTCCCCTCACGCATTGGTTTCCATCTCTTCCCCTCACGCATTGGTTTCCATCTCTTCCCCTCACGCATTGGTTTCCATCTCTTCCCCTCACGCATTGGTTTCCATCTCTTCCCCTCACGCATCGGTTTCCATCTCTTCCCCTCACGCATCGGTTTCCATCTCTTCCCCTCACGCATCGGTTTCCATCTCTTCCCCTCACGCATTGGTTTCCATCTCTTCCCCTCACGCATCGGTTTCCATCTCTTCCCCTCACGCATCGGTTTCCATCTCTTCCCCTCACGCATCGGTTTCCATCTCTTCCCCTCACGCATCGGTTTCCATCTCTTCCCCTCACGCATCGGTTTCCATCTCTTCCCCTCACGCATTGGTTTCCATCTCTTCCCCTCACGCATTGGTTTCCATCTCTTCCCCTCACGCATTGGTTTCCATCTCTTCCCCTCACGCATTGGTTTCCATCTCTTCCCCTCACGCATCGGTTTCCATCTCTTCCCCTCACGCATCGGTTTCCATCTCTTCCCCTCACGCATTGGTTTCCATCTCTTCCCCTCACGCATTGGTTTCCATCTCTTCCCCTCACGCATTGGTTTCCATCTCTTCCCCTCACGCATTGGTTTCCATCTCTTCCCCTCACGCATTGGTTTCCATCTCTTCCCCTCACGCATTGGTTTCCATCTCTTCCCCTCACGCATTGGTTTCCATCTCTTCCCCTCACGCATTGGTTTCCATCTCTTCCCCTCACGCATTGGTTTCCATCTCTTCCCGTCACGCATTGGTTTCCATCTCTTCCCCTCACGCATTGGTTTCCATCTCTTCCCCTCACGCATTGGTTTCCATCTCTTCCCCTCACGCATTGGTTTCCATCTCTTCCCCTCACGCATTGGTTTCCATCTCTTCCCCTCACGCATTGGTTTCCATCTCTTCCCCTCACGCATTGGTTTCCATCTCTTCCCCTCACGCATTGGTTTCCATCTCTTCCCCTCACGCATCGGTTTCCATCTCTTCCCCTCACGCATTGGTTTCCATCTCTTCCCCTCACGCATTGGTTTCCATCTCTTCCCCTCACGCATTGGTTTCCATCTCTTCCCCTCACGCATTGGTTTCCATCTCTTCCCCTCACGCATTGGTTTCCATCTCTTCCCCTCACGCATTGGTTTCCATCTCTTCCCCTCACGCATTGGTTTCCATCTCTTCCCCTCACGCATTGGTTTCCATCTCTTCCCCTCACGCATTGGTTTCCATCTCTTCCCCTCACGCATTGGTTTCCATCTCTTCCCCTCACGCATTGGTTTCCATCTCTTCCCCTCACGCATTGGTTTCCATCTCTTCCCCTCACGCATTGGTTTCCATCTCTTCCCCTCACGCATTGGTTTCCATCTCTTCCCCTCACAAATTGGTTTCCATCTCTTCCCCTCACGCATTGGTTTCCATCTCTTCCCCTCACGCATTGGTTTCCATCTCTTCCCCTCACGCATTGGTTTCCATCTCTTCCCCTCACGCATTGGTTTCCATCTCTTCCCCTCACGCATTGGTTTCCATCTCTTCCCCTCACGCATTGGTTTCCATCTCTTCCCCTCACGCATTGGTTTCCATCTCTTCCCCTCACGCATTGGTTTCCATCTCTTCCCCTCACGCATTGGTTTCCATCTCTTCCCCTCACGCATTGGTTTCCATCTCTTCCCCTCACGCATTGGTTTCCATCTCTTCCCCTCACGCATTGGTTTCCATCTCTTCCCCTCACGCATCGGTTTCCATCTCTTCCCCTCACGCATCGGTTTCCATCTCTTCCCCTCACGCATCGGTTTCCATCTCTTCTTCTGCCTCCATGTCTCACTCTCTACTCCCTACCCTCCGCCCCTGCCCTGTTCCACCTGCCCTCGTCCCCGTGCCCTAATCCCCCTGCCTTGTTCCCTTGGCGCTCTTCTCCTGGCCATGGCAGGGTGATGGCAAGCAACGGGTGTCCGGGGTACGCATGGCGAGTGCAGGCCACGCTGTACTCGCCACTGCAGCAGGCGCTCTCCTTCGCCGTGCCACTCGCCCCCACGCTCGCCTCCTCCACCACTCCTGTCGCCCTCAGCGGCACGTGCAAGATGGGGCCCATTGGCTTCGCGCTCAACGGCGTGCCCTTCTACAGGTCAGCGGGAAGGGGGGAGAGGTGGAGGGTGCGGGGGGAGGCGGTAGGGCTACTGGGCTCACATTCGATGATCGAAACTGTGCACCATCTCGATCCCCACTCTGCTGCCCATACTGCTCCCAGTGTGTGTGATGTCTGGCACTACGAAGAAGCGTGGGAGCCCTTGTGGGTGTGCCTGCCTGCCACCTCACGCCCGCATTGCCCCTCCCCATGTCTCCCTCTCCCTCTCCCCCTCGCAGTGCGTGTGACGCCCTGGGCCGTGACGCCTTGCAGTACGAGGGCTCCACCTTTGACTCGTGTGGGGGGCACCCCACGCCCTCGGGCCAGTATCACTACCACGTCGCACCCGGCGTCGCCAACCCCTCCGCCATCTCCGCATCTCGCTCCACCAACTTCAAGCTCTGCAAGTGCGTTCCCCATTCCCCCATTACCCCTTTCCTCCGGTTTCCCCGTTCCCACCTTCTCACCTTCACTACCTGCAACCTCTACTCCTTCCATAGCCAACCTGCTTCATCCATGCCCCATGCCGCCTCATGCCATTCAACTCGTAGAATTCCTGGCATCCCAACCATCCACCTCCCCTTCTCTCCGCCCTCCCTCCTCCCCACCACCTTCCCTCCCCAGCTCGTCCTTCTGGCAGGACGTGCGCGGGCAGCACTCGCCGCTGCTGGGCTTCCTGGCGGACGGCATTCCGCTCTTCGGCCCGCGGGCAGCGGGGGGGGCGCTGCCGGCAGGGCTGGACGAGTGTGGGGGGCACGTGGGCGACGGCAGCAGCGGCGAGCCGGCGTTCTACCACTACCACGCCAGCAGCACGGCGCCCTACACTGTGGCTTGCCTCAAGGGCTGCGTCGCCTCCTCTGACTGGGGCAACCTCGGCTCTACTTCCTGCACCCAGGCCACCAGTGAGTGGCGACGGTTGTGGCTGTGTGCACATGCTGCCTTGGTCACCTCCGAACCTCATCTTCTCTCCTCTCCGGTGCTCTCTTTGCCTTGTCTTTCCCTCCTCTCTTCGCATCGTCCTTTCTTCTCGTCTCCTCTCCTCTCTTTTTCCTCTCTCTTGTCCTCTCCTCTATTTTCCACTCTCCTATCCTCTCCTCTCCTCTCCTCTCTTTTTTCCTCTCTCCTCTCCTCACTCTCCTCTCCTCTCCTCACTCTCCTCTCCTCTCCTCTCCTCTCCTCTCCTGTCCTCTCCTGTCATCTCATCTCCTCACCTCCCTCTCATTGTTCCTAATTTGGCACTGTCTGCTCATCCATCTTCCTTTGCCCCCAATATCACCTGTTTCATTGCTTACAGAGCAATACGACTACTCATCACTGGCGGCAGTGCAGGCAGCATGATCCCACGCCTGCCATGCCACCTGCCCACATCACCCACCCACCCTCATTCCTCAGCGGGCCTGCCTTCATTCCACGGTCCACTCCTTTGGCCGCAATGCTGCTCTGGCATTGCAGGACTGGCAATGCGCTGCAGGAGTGGCACATGGGGGGCAGGTTAGGGTAGCACGCTGTGGCATGCGGATGGTTACTCGTGTGCCTAAGGGTGTGTTCCTACCTCGTATCGAAATACCATGTGCCTGTGACTGGCCGCATTGAGTCCCACATGCGGTGCTTGATGCGAGGTAGGAACGCTACCCACCTTAGCATCTGCTAGTAGGCTGTGCTAGTTGCGCATTGAGTCCCACATGCTAAAAAAGTCATTTTGTAAAGACCCGGGTCTTATAACAGATATGCCACTTATTTAGACCCCCCTCATTTTTTTTTGTGCGATTTGTTGGGCTGAGAAAAGCCCTTAGGATCGTTTCAAGGCTAAGACTCGGAGTGATGATGTAGTTGCGGAAGCGTAATAGTGAACTGATTGAACCACCTTGCACTGGTATGTGAGAACAAGATAAGTTGATTATAGCAAAGAGATACAAAGCTTTATATGATTACAAAGGAAAAAGAAAGGTTTAACTAACTGTAACTGCTGTTGTGGTTCGATATAGCGACAACTACTCAATATCGAGTGAGTTCTGTGTCCTTGCTGTCGCGCTGTCTTCGGCGAGTCAAAGGTCGCTGGCCTTTGGCCTTCACTTAACCTCTTCCTGTTGCATTTTTGTCAACCTCTTCGGTTGACTTGCTGTTGCTTCGCTGTAGTTCGCCTCGCTTGCAATCCAGTGTTTCGATACATCAGAAGCGCAAACTACATGTTTCCAACACTCCCCTTCGCTTCTGGAGTGTCGTTGTTGGTGACGTGGCATTGTCCAGTCAGCAGCATGCAGTACTCGAACTTCTGCTTTCCGAGTTTCTTGGTCAAGTAATCTGCTGCCATCTCGGACGTGGGGCAGTAGGATAGTTCGAGTCTCCCTTTCTCGATCTCGTCCTTCACGAAGAAGTAGCGCAGGGCGATGTGCTTCGTTCGGTTCGCGAAGCCGTTCTTGTTCGCTATGCGAATTGGAGATGGATTGTCGCAGAAGAGGGAGAAGCTGGGTAACTGGGCCAGCTTTGCTTCTTCCAGTAGTTCGCGAAGGTACAGTCCTTCCTTGGTGGCTGAGCAGAGTGCTATGTATTCAGCTTCAGCAGAGGAGAGGGCAATTAGTTCTTGCTTGCTCGACTGCCACGAGATAGGACCGATGGGCTCGAGTATATAGATGTAGCCGGTGCGCGATCGCCATTGTCGGAGTCGCCAGCGTGATCAGTATCTACGTAGCCGATTAGTTTAGGCGTGGAGGTTCCAGTTTTATGGTAGGTTAAACCGACTGTCGGTGTGCTAACGAGGTAGTGCAGTGCGCGAACAAGTTCTGCCATGTGCTCTGCTTCGGGCTTCTTGAGATAGGTGGCGAGTTGGCTCGCTGAGTATGACAGGTCCGGTCGGCAGGTAACGGCTGCGAAGAGTAGGCATCCCAGCTTTCGTTGGTAGTCGCGTATGCCGGCAGGACCGAGTGGAGCAGAGGCTTCTTTGTGGTTTTCTGCGGTGTAGCGATGTGGCGTGGAGATGGTAGCTGGGGTTAGGCCGAAGCGTTTGGCGATGGTGTCGGCGTATTTTGCGGCGCTGAGGTAGATTGCGTTCTCTTCGTCTTGTATGTTGAGCCCTAAGTATTGCGTTACAGTAGAGGAAACGGTAAGTGTGAGATCCCGTTGCAGCTCCCCTTCAAACCAGGTCGTGATGCCGTCTGTGGAGCCTATGTAGAGCAGGTCGTCTACATAGACGATGAGCAGGATGTAGTTGTCAAACATTGTATATGTTTATATTCTGTAGGCTATAGTGGGTTTAGCCTTAGGGGGTACAACATTCTAGGGTTTCCTACTTGTACTCCCAATCTTGTTAGTCCAATCACTCTTGTTCATTCTGACATGGTATCACGAGCCTAGGTTGCCACCTAGGACCGCTTTCTACTACGGGCCCACTATTCCGCTAGAAGCGCCCTCGTGCGCCCTACCTTACGTGCGCCCTCGTGCGCCTTTCTCTGCTCGTGCGCCCTCGTGCGCCCTTTTTTCTGCTAGTGCGCCCTCGCGCGCCCCGCCCTTCGTTCTGCTCGCGTGCCGTCCTGCAGCCCTCGCGCTGCCTCCTGCTGCCCTAGGCCAGTGCGACGCCCCTGCAAGCTAGTACGGCCCTCGAGCCGCCCCTGCAGGTCCGTCAGGCCCCCGAGCAGCCTCTGCAGACCCGTCAGGCCCCCGAGCCGCTTCTGCAGGCCCGTCAGGCCCGAGAGCCGCCCCTGCAGACCCGTCAGGCCCGCGCGCAGCCTCTGCCCGACCGCGCGCCGCCCCTGCAGGCCCTCGCCGCCCGCACGCAGCCTCTGCAGGCCCGTCAGGCCAGGTCGCGGCCCTGTCAGGTCGCAGTCGCGGCCCCAGCCGACGCGGACGCGGCCCCGCCCTGCAGTAACGCGGCCGCGCCCCACTACTGACGCGGCCGCGCCCAGCAGCCCGCAACGTCGCCCTGCCCGCGGCGTCGCCACCTGCCCGCGGCGTCGCCACCTGCCCGCGGCGTCGCCACCTGCCCGCGGCGTCGCCACCTGCCCGCGACGTCGCCACCTGCCCGCCGCGTTGCCCTGCCCGCCGCGTCGCCCCTGCCCGCGGCGTCGCCCCTGCCCGCCGCGTCACCCTGCCCGACGCGTCGCCCCTGCCCGCGGCGTCGCCCCTGCCCGCCGCGTCGCCCCTGCCCGCGCGTCGCCCCTGCCTGCTGCGTCGCCCTGACCTACCCCGCGCCTGGCCTCTGGAGCAGCCGCCTCTGGAGCAGCCGCCCCTGCAGCAGCCGCCCCTGGCCCCTGGAACAGCCGCCCCTGCAGCAGCCGCCCCTGGCCACTGGAGCAGCCGCCCCTGGAGCAGCCGCCCCTGGTCACTGGAGCAGCCGCCACTGCAGGAGCCGCCCCTGGAGCAGCCGCTCCTGCAGCAGCCGCCCCTGGCCCCTGGAGCAGCCGCCCCTGGCCACTGGAGCAGCCGCCCCTGGAGCAGCCGCCCCTGGCCACTGGAGCAGCCGCCACTGCAGGAGCCGCCCCTGGCCCCTGGAGCAGCAGCCCCTAGAGCAGCCGCCCTTGGAGCAGCCGCTGTGGCGGCCCCGCAGTCGCCTCCGTCGTGCGCCTGCCCTTCCCACCACTGGTGAGCGCTGCCCTGCCCGTGCTGCTACTGCTGTTACTGCTGCTGCTACTGCTTCTACTGCTGCTCGTGGCGTGGCCAGATGCAGCTCCAAGGCCGTCCGCGTGTGTCCCTCACGCCCCAGCAGCTTCGTGAGTGGTACGCCAGTTGGGTTGTCGGGGTGGCAGTAGTGGGAGTCGTCCTGGAGTGGGTAGTTCGGGAGTTTCTTGTAGTGGCCCAGTGCAGCAGCAGCGTCGTCTGCCCGAGGCTCTTTCGCCCCAGCAGCTTCGTGAGTGGTACGCTCAGAGTAGAGGGTCACTGAGTACTGCTCGCTGCCCGTACGTCATTCGCACAGGTGTCCGGACTTGTCAGCCTTGCGGGACACGTGGTCACACAGAGTCCCACTGCTTCGCCCGTCTTGGCGACGCTTGGCGTACAGAGTTTGGCGACGCCGCTGAGCTCCCCTCCTGGCTGGAGCTGCTTAGACAGACGGTAGATATATTTTCTCTTGACTATGATGCTATTCTCACTGCAATGTATGCATTGTCTACTAGTACCGAGGGAGCCTGTCACCTGTGTGTGCCGCCTGACCCCGGTATCTAGTCTGCTGCTCCAGGTGCCGGTGAGGCTGCCGCTCTAGGTGCTAGTACGTCTGCTGCCCCAGGTGCTGGTGAGGCTGCTGCTCTAGGTGCTCGTAAGTCTGCGTCCTCTGGTACTGCGTCTACTGAGGCACTGCACACCTTCACACTGGATTCAGGTGCTTCCCGCTGTTTCTTTCGTGACCGCACTGCCCTTGAGCAGCTTGCTCGGCCGGTTGCAGTCTCCCTCGCTGACCCCTCTGGGGGTCCGGTCATTGCGACCTCCTCTACTGTTCTCCCTTGTCCTGCGGTCCCGTCGGGCACACTGTCAGGTCTCTACCTCCCCTCGTTCTCTACGAACTTGGTGGCGGGTAGTGCGCTCCAGGACGGGGGTGTCCACCAGTTCACCCCTGCCGACGAGCGCGTGACACACTGCACGTGTGCTCGGACGGGTCGCCACCTGGCTACCTTCACTCGGCAGCCGGGGTCGGACCTGTACACACTGACCACTGAGTCCCCTCAGGTAGCTGCGTCTGCGTCTGCGTCAGGTCAGCTGTCGGCCCCCTGCTCGTGTCGCTCCCTGGCGCACGAGACCGTCCTCTGGCACCACCGCCTTGGTCACCCGTCAGTGCAGTGCCTTCGTCGCATTCACTCCCGGTATCTTGTCTCTGGTCTTCCCAGGGTTCTCCCTCCCCTCCCACCCTCGCCTACTCCTCCTTGTCTTCCCTGTGTCGAGGGGCGGCAGCGCGCCGCTCCTCACTCCTCCTCGTTTCCCCCGACGACTGCTCACCTGTAGACGCTTCACATGGACGTGTGGGGCCCAGCCCGCGTCCGTGGGCAGGGTCACGAGAGGTACTTCTTGATAGTTGTTCACGACTACTCGCGCTACACCACGGTCTTCCCCTTGCGCACCAAGGGTGAAGTCCCTGATGTTTTGATCCCTTGGATCCGCGCTGCCCGTCTCCAGCTCAGCGAGCGGTTCCACTCGGACTTTCCTGTTCTGCGTCTGCACTCTGACAGAGGTGGGGAGTTTTCCTCCGACCTCTTGAGGGCCTACTGTCAGGGGCAGGGCATTGAGCAGTCGTTCACGCTTCCGGCCTCTCCACAGCAGAATGGGGTTGCTGAGCGCCGCATTGGCCTAGTCATGGAGGTCGCTCGTACCTCCTTGATCCATGCGGCTGCCTCCCACTTTCTGTGGCCGTTTGCAGT